GCACTATGGTGGGAGTAAATTTTTCTCTTCGAATGGCTCTGATCCATTGGCCCTTTAAACTTTTATCCGTTGAAAATCAGCATATTATTTAAAAATTTATCGACAGAGTACATGTTGATAGGCACAAGTTAACCTAAGTTTATTGGTTTATTCTCAACAGAAATTTATCTGTTCACTAATTCGAGCTAATCACGAGAATGATTAATGAACGGAACATCTAAAATAACAGCTTATTTCATTATATTGCATATCATCTCAGCGATTTTTGCCCCGCGGTGCATTGTGTGTTGCATACTGTGTCGACAACACCTTAGATACGTTAAGCGCAGTCTAGTTATAGCAAGTCTCTGCTTGCATGGGACTGTACATGCGTGGACACTTTATCCCAAACAAACATTAAAAGTACTTCAATAAGGGCCGGAGCTGCAGCAGAAGAGGCATGCTCAAAAAAACAGAACAAATATCGAGATCTAAAGAAAGATTATATATTTATGGGCCTTTGAGACACTTGGACCATGGTGCAAGGAATCACGAGATTTTCTGAATAAAATAGGCAAAAGCTTAATTGCGGAATCCGGCGACAAACGCGCTAAGCAATTTTTATTTCAAAGGATATCCTTGGCCATCCAACGTGGAAATAGTGCATGTATCCTGGGCACTCTCCCAACTGAAAAACAGTTCGACGAAATTTTTTTGTTATAGTTAATTATTGTTTTCTTCTTTGTTACACAATTTTAAATATTTCGTTTAAATAAAATTTTTAAATTAAAAAAAAAATATCCCCTCGGATCGCTTTTTGCAAATGAAAAAGGTGTCTTTGGCTCGTATCCTGTGTGGGAAGCTTCACAAACGCAAGTTTTGAATAAATGCACAGAATAAGACCTTTACAGAACAGAAACATAAATGGCGCTAAATTGTCACTGATTACAGCGTTTCCCGTGGTTGTACGGAGAACTATTTATCGCAGATTCAAATATTTTTTTGCAAAACCTGTAATTTTGCTCTTTACAGGAAATATTTTTACCGTCGATTTTATACGTACACATAGTTTTACACATGTCAATTTTGACTTTTGAAAGATTTAAAATATGAACAAGTTATGTGACCGTAAATAGTGTTGTGTGGCGGATTGTAACGATAAAATATCAAAAAGGCATCGTTTCCCATATTTTGAAACAGATTGTTTTGTGCTTGAAACGCGAAGAGGATTGAAATGTGCTGTTCTTTCTCTCCTATTTATGCAAGGTATGGAATTTATAAATTACCAACGGTATAGGCGCAAAAGGGTGTAGACTTGAGTTTTATATTGAGTTTTATATTATAGACGTAGATACTTATATTGTAATTCCTTTTAGACAATGAATACAAAATACGTTTTAGATAATTCAACAACTTCCACCCTCGCTTCTCAAGTAACAAGTAAGCACCAGAATCAAGTTAACATTTGTTGTCAAAAACTTGTGTGACAATTTGCTGAAACGGTTTTATTACCTCTTGGAACAAAAAATTTAGTTCTAAAGATATTTTTTAACAAAAATATGTAGTCCAAACAGCAATTAAAACCAAATATTTCGTACGACAAATTGTTATGTAAGGATCTTTCTTCAAAGTGTTAACATCTACAAACCGTAAGTTCCACTCACTTCTGAGTTTTATATGTAATTTGTAAACATGTAATTTAAGTTCTCTGTGTTAAATAATGTAATGTGATTGTATCTAAATACACTTTAATGTAACAACTGTGTATTCTTTATCAATATTTATGATTTATATCGAATTTGGGAAATTACTTCATGACTTTAGAAGCTGGTCACCAGATGGCGCTACTCTGATTTCGATGCTTTAGTTCACAGTACACCCACCAGGCTCCGCCAAAATACCATACAAATTTGTAACATTGCTGTTTCTATTCTGAGAAGGCCGTATTCTGTGAATAAATGCACCGAAGGGTAGAAGATAAATACCTACCTTTGATATTTCCTTCATATATGACAGCATGAACGATGCATTTAAGACCTTGTTTGGAAGATGCTTCCTATTATTCCACGCCATTTTCATGTATTCTTTATAATAGGCTATTGCATTTGGATGTTACAGATTCTTCTGCTGCAGAAATAAGCCACTGAATAGACGGTGTATTGTCTTCTTCAACCGAAGTCATTTTATTTACAAAGACGGTGATTTTTAATACGCGAACGTCAAGTGACATTTCCATGGCAATCATGGAATGACAAATAATCAGCCCACTTAATTAGAAATGTATTCGAGTATAACGTCAATATGATTTCGTTGTATTTCCCTTATTTTTAAATTATATTGCAGGTATAATAAAAAATACTATAAGAAACGCGTGTATAATTGGTCTTTAAAGCACTTGCAACGTTTAAAGGCACTCCGCTGCGCGTCGTGCCATTAAACTCGCTGCGCGTGCTTGATTATACACTTGTTTCATCATATACTATTCTTTGTCAGTTGGATAAGTTACTTGTTACAGGCGGTTTCTAATTCTGCCCTTAAATTTATTTGACAATTAACGACTATTTTAGCCCCGTTACTTAAATCATAAATGTCCCACGAGCCAATCATTTTTTTCACACCAGGTCTCAGTAAGCTCTATTTGATTTTCCACAATAATTACTTACGATCTGGAACGGGACGCTTACCGCCGCAAATTATATTATGAATGTTGATAAATGGTATTGGTATATTTTCATTCTTTAAATAATAAAACTCAATCGGCATACGTCGTCCTCCCCCGTCAAAATTCGTTCAAAAGAACGTACGACGACAGTGTTCAGGACATGGCATCGAATCTTTTCCATCTCTTTTACACTTTAGCTACTAGACGGACAGAGGCTTGCCTCAAATCGGTCTTTGTTTATCATACAGCATTTAAAAACCTGTCGTGGAAAGTTTACTTTGCTGTTGCTCTCATGTTTCATTTATATTTATGGTGGCGTAAATGGCGTTACAATTAAATAATCGTAACGTACCAAATTATAGATATCTACAGATGAGGCACTGCCTCAGTTGTCTCATCGGATAAGTCGCCACTGCCCCTTACGTTAGTTGTAAACAACGCTATGACCTGAAGTACGGTTGGGAAGGAACGTAAAATAAAACACTGGAATGATGAAAAGTTTGTTTAATAATGATCGTTATTCTTAAAATTATGAAAGCTCGAAAATTTACTTGAATTAAATTCCATTGCAAGAATAAACTTTGGAAATGGAAGTTCATCGTGTAAAAACAGGAATAGGATGGGAAAAAAAGAACATACAAACAAAAAAACCAACCGTCATATCAATATTAAATTGTGTGGCATAACATAAAATTATAGCAACAACAAAACATGTAGCATGTATGCTTTTCAAAGAGGTAACATATAGGTTAAAAACAAGTTTTGGGAACAATATGGGTCAAGCAAGCAGGTACCAAGATTCTAAGGGTATGAAATACACAATATGTGACTCATCTTTGGTACAATACAATCCTTTTGTTAAGGTCAAGATGGAAAATTACATGGCCTTGAAAGGCAAATGTTATAACAAATATGTGGAAATCAGTGAATCGCAACTCATATATTTCCTCGTAGGAATCGGTAATTTCCACATATATTAAAAGAATGATCAAAATATATATGATGCAGTGATTATTTCATCTGGCAGGATGAAATTTTCGGAAATTCTAATTAAAATGGACATAGGACGGTCTCCTGTGTTATTAATTTTCCTAATTAATTTTATTAATTATCGATCTATGTAATGGCATGGAGATTGTGCTATACGAGAAAGCGGTCAAGGTTGTTTTTGTTTACATTTATCAAATGTACATGCTTAATGTAATAAGACAGGTACGCTATTTATCGCCTTTTCTGTGTACTTTAAGAGCGATGACATTTTATTTTTCATAGAATTTAAGTTTGGATTTATCTCTTAATGTCTGAACAGATTGATTTAGAAAAATAATCGACCTGTATTTTTGTTGCCCTAATAACGTGTGTTGATAGGATAGTTTTGTTGTGAACTGTGTATGATTGGTTATTGTAATGTAATGTTTATTATCAGAAGAAGGGTTTTGCTTTAAATAGGACGTTTCGCGGCTAATTATCTACGTTTGTAGCTTAGTACAACAATGACTATCCATGTCTCTCATATGGAAATATTTGGCGTTTAAGCATGCGTCTTCTTAAACTGTTGCCATCATTTTGCCTTGCGATTATTTAACATTATACTTACCCATTTTGAGGAAACTATTTCTACCAGTGCGTTACAGGTCTGCTGCTGTAAAAGGTGGTTAAATGATAGAAAGAATGTATTTTATATTTTATTGTAAAATGACAAAGAACAAATCTAAAATTTATCAGAATCATATGTTTTATAGTTATATATAATGCAATATGTTATATAGAGAATTCTAATAATTTAATATTCAAAATAATCTAACAAAATAGGTACCAACAAGACAATAATTGCAAATATGTATTTGAACTGGCCGTTCATTAGTGTTTTAATACTGATCTTGGCACACAATGCTATTAGAAACAAGATAGCAAAATGAATTAGAAAACGATTATTTTGCCCGGAAGCCCTTTGTAACAAAGGCTATAAACGGCCTAGCGCAGTTAAGAAATAAGAATAAGATTGAAAATATACGTGCGAAAGAATATTGCAATATTTAAATGTTCAGTTTGTGCCCATAGTTCATAGTCAAGCTAAATTACACTAAGTTACCCTAAAAGTTTCTTAAGTATGTAAATAGTAGAGTATATGTGAATAGAGATAATATGTTGATATACGCTCTCAATGTAATGATAAATAGACAATTATCCTTGATTTGTAATAGTTGATCCCACAGTCAGGCACAAAGGCCGTAACATTTGTTCCTTAATATCGCGTGTGCCAGTTCACGCTCGAAATATCAAACATTTACATAGCGAGAATTTTTGCAAACACGAAAAACCGCAAAACACAAAATTTAGGTAGTAAAAAAACAAGGTGTTGAAAAAGTTTTAAATGAAATTTAATGCAACAAAAAACGAAAAATGCAAATTACAAAAAAAAATTGGAAAGCAACTACAAACTAAATAGTCATAAAATAATACTACTTTAAAAAAACACAATCACAAGGTAGAACATAAATGTTGTGTGAAAGACATTTTGTGCGTACATAAAAATTAGCAGAAAATGATTAAAAAAATAGATCTATAACACATATAGATGTACACTTATTAACGTAGATATTGACTTCAAATTTGGCAATGCATGCATGCGATATGTTGGTGAAGCTTTTTGATAGAAATCAACGATGAAATTTTGATCGCACATCCGACATGTTGCATTTTAGGTATGATAATAATGATTGTCAACGTGTATAATAATAGTATATAGATAGAGATACGCATATACCATATATATATAATGTGAGATGCAGGCGTGCACTTTGTAAAAATAATTTGGAGATTCATTTTAGAGATAGTTAAGTTTCAAATTGAGAAAGGTGCAGGCCCACATCTTTAATATGAACAATCCTCATAGCTACCTTGAGAAACATTCATATTGTAGGGTACAACTACACCCTGTAATACCCTATATACTATCACTGGCTAATTTACCGCTAATACTAACCTAACTTACATTACTACTAAAATCCGCGACATCATCTCTAACAGCGCCAACAGAATTATTTCATATCGTATCGAAAATTATCATCGGTCACATTTAATTTTCATCAAAAAATAAAATCAACTACTGTCCTTTTGCTTATGATATGAAATAGTCCTCTGTTGCATTTACGTAATCTAAATTATTTAACATGTAGTAAATACTTTTTCTATAAACTTACAAAAAAATAACATCGCGGCGAGTTTTACTTCAATGTTTCTTCTATGTCTAACACTCGCTTATCAACATTAAAGCCATTCAATACTGAATTATAATAAGCCTAATTAGGAAATGAACGTGTAAAAAATGAGAACAATCATTAAACGACTGTAAATAATACTATTTACTAAATAACTAACAATACATGATTAATCAAAATAAACGTATTCGTAATGAAAACAATACTACAAATTATACTGATTTGTCGAAAATTCTTATCCTGCCTGAACAGTCTGTAGTAATAAATAAGCGCAGCGTTATTAATAAAAACTAGCTACCACTGTGTTGTTTGCCACCGCACTTTTTAACTTAAATACAGTGGCTGGAATGAATACTGGATAATGTACAAGCGACATTATATGCTCGACTTCGAGAACGACACTCGCAGGTGATTGGACTCGGATAATTGAAAATTGTGCATCTTAATTAGGGCCGCTACCGCCTCGTCCATACTCGGTAATTGGATTAGCGCCATCTTTCTGTCTTTTCTGCAACAAATATTGTGTTTCATTTAACAATAAAGGCTCAATATGATAGGAGATCACAGTCCTGCAAACAGTTGATATGAAATAATGTAGTGAGACAAATCTAGCTTGCAGATGTTGATTTTCAAGTCTTTTTGATATTGTGCAGCCAGCACTAACTTTATTCATTTGATGCAACAAAGGCGGGTAAATTTCAAACATGTCTAGGATGTTTTAGCAGATGTTTGATCTCCCCATCTTATTATTATTATTATTATAATTATTAACACTTCAGCTGTTCGACAAACTAGTAGTTTGATCTATTAAGACACCGGCAAATTGGGCAAGTGTGGTGAATTTCCATCCATCATCCGGGACTCCAGTAGTACCTACTTCGAATTGCCGAAGTTTGATTCTCCCTTTTTTAAGCAGCATAAAGGTCATAACCTTATTTATTTAAACTGTGCCTTGGTTGTTAATGACCGTATGTATATACGTTGGTCATTCAATATTAATTTAAGCTTACATTTTTTGTGTACTTTTATGCCCTTGTTGTATCGTTGCATGTATTTATTGTTGAACCTATCATACATATTTATTACTTGTTAAAGATTTTCTATTGCGTTTATCGATTATATTCCAAAGCTAATTCCGTTACTGTATTGGTTGTCTTGAAACAAAGACTTACAGGAACAGCTGTTCTGATTATTGTTATGTACTTTAGTGTTATAATATGAATATTTTTAAGATACGGAATCGGTTACTTTAATAATTTGGTATGTTGGCTACCAATAATTATTCAGACAAGAAGACCCCCCCCCCCTAGTGCCAGAGCTTTGCAAACTCGTATGGTCCTTCATTTTTTTTTTATTTTTAGTTGGATTTTGGAAGGATTTTGTGCCTGTCTGGCGCCCATCCTGTACCAGTTTGCATTCGCTCAGGATTTTTTCACTGGGAGATCCAACTCTTCTCAGACTATCCGGTCAATCCTGGTTCCTATGCTTAAAAAAGCGTTACAAGGTTTTATTTAAGAATTATAGATAGCCGGAATGCGTCGTGGGACATCCTGTATATAATCCAGACTATAACATGAGGTGCAATGGAGTAGTGAAAATATGGGGTGCCTAGCTATTTTATTTTATTTGATGAATGTAAGCCATTGATGAAAGAACCAATTCCTCTTGAAGTGAAGAAATATTTGTTTTGTGAATTGTAATAAATTTGCCGCCCCTCTTTTTGGTGCTGCCTCATGCTTTAGCCCTCTATGCATTAATCCATCAATCATATTTAATGATTATTATAGTTGGTTTTGAATTAACAGAACAATCATAGATATAAAGGTGGGTAATTACAAACTGTCATTTTTCAGTGTAAAACCAATTCGTTAACACAAAAAAAGGGGGGGTTCCAAGACATGCTTTATTTACCCAAGTTAGAGAAATCAGGAATGTCAAAAGCCAATTTCTTCTGTAAAGAAGTACATTGAAGCAAAATTATGGAAAAGATTGGACAAATTACAATTCAATTAGTCAGGGGTTATGAAAGTAGCATTCCTACTGGTTTTTTTTGTTTTACTACTCCTTATATACCTTCAAATTTTTTTTCACATAATAAAAAACAGTTGAAAAAACACACATGCCTATCATGTACTTGTCTTACACTGTAGTTTTAGCGTTAGTAAATACCTACGCGATAATGTTAAAACCAGAAATCACTTTTTAGTCAGACCCCTAATAAAATAACACAAAAAACAGGTCTATAAAGTTCCCCATAAACAGGTGACGTAAAATAGTTACAGAGGAGTACATAATAATTTTAATAGTTAAAGTTGTTTAGATGTTTTCAACTGCTCTGCGGTGTAGGGAACGTAAACTATAAGTTTGTAATTTTCACTCTAAAACCGCCGTTAAAATTATGAAGATGGCATGTGCATAAAATAGTTTTACCATTATATTACCCGTTATTTATGCGCGTTAATAATTGATTAAAATTACTTACGGGAAAAACTTGAACGCTTTTACATTGAAACCGTTCTTTGCGAAGGCGTCCTTTATGTCATCCTCATTGATCGTTGCGGGAATATTACTCAAATGTAAAGTTGAGGATGGCGGATAGATGTTTTGGTAGTTCTTGGAGCCTGGCTTCTTAAACCTGTGCAACGGACTTTGACTGTAATCCTTGGTTAATCCGGCGTCCGGCTGGCCTTCTTTTGGTAATTGAACAGTTTGATGCTTACTCAACATAACGCGAATATTTTTACCGAAAACCCTCAGTTTATCCATGTGCGTGATTGCTGAAAAAAGATTACGTTATCAAAGCGCGGCGACCTATAATATTGACTGACAAACCTAAATGTGCCTGATGCGGTTCTGCCAGTTGTACCAATGCGGAATCCTTCTTGTTGTACAGGATTTTCACGCGCTGCACGTCCCCATAAACGCCTAGATAGGAAATAGAGTACAAATCAAAATTTAAACCATTAACCAAACTAGAAATAAAACTAAAGGTAATGATTGTATATGTAAAAGATTTGACAAAACACTAACAAGTACAACGAAAAATACATAACATATACATGCAAAACTGAATAAAACAGAAAGTAAAACACAACAAATAAAAATGAAAATAATCTACTATCAGACTTAGGAAGATAAAAATAAAAAAATTAACACAAATATTCTAAGCAGTAAGCTTGTAAAAAAATATGTAATATTTATATTTGATATCAATAATAACTACTAAACTAAACTCGTCATCGTAAAAGACGGATTAGATTAAAAGATAAACTCTGTTATTTTATCTCGCAAGATCCTAAAGGACATCTCAATTTGGACCGTTCCAAAAACACACTTTATTTTAGTATTCTGTTAGTAAATTAAAGAAAGATAAAAGAGCAGAGTTCCTGATGACTAAATGATGTACTTAGTTGACAGTAGCTGTGCACACGTACCAAATAGGGTAAAGAGAGCGTCAGGCGTGACCATCTACGGAAAGAGAAAGATGACAGTAGTATGTAATGGTAGCACATAGAGGGAGAATTGTCATTAAAAATGGCGGCAAAAATTGTTTATAAGAACACCACGTTAGACAAGAACGGCAAAAAAATCAAAATCTAAAGTAGTGTTTGTTAAAAATTCGTAAAATCAGCATTTTTTAATTTGCTAAATACAGTTCACTCCGAAATAGTTTTTTCAAACTTTTAAAAGAAACTTAGTAAGACTGAAAATAAAAAAATGCTAGGTAGAGTTTATACAGCAATTAGTATTTAATACCATATGGATTAGAGAGCTTTATAGGTGAACTGTACAAATATTTGCCTATCCTTTGGTAGTACTCTTAAAAGCGGTCATAAGTAATTTCTGGCTGTTGCACCATTTTGAAAGATGGCTTTGATAAAAGTTACTTATGAATAGAAATTCCCATTATTTGTTCCAAAGTTTTCTCTAATGGATTGGAAGTATAAACTTTTGTTACACTTTTGAAAGGTTGACAAACATTGGGAATTTTTAAGAGAACTTAAAGGATGGACATTTAAAGTCGATAATGCATGCCACACTAAATAACGCCAATGAAGCTTGCACTCAACTTTTGTTCATGTAGAACTCGAAAAAAATTTAAAAAACAATTACCTCCTCGTTTAGGTTGCTAACTAACAAAACGGTCGCTAAAGCCAGTCCGGGATTGGTCAGCCCTCTTAATCCGGGAGCAGCCTGACCTAGAGCGAAGCCGCCGAGAGCGGGAAGAGCACCAGCAACACCGCCGGTGTAAGGTGAGGCTAGCGGTGATGTCAGTCCCGGAATGAAAGGCGATGCTAGTACTCCGGGCGCACCAGCAAGTAGCGAGTCTGAAACGTTTTGTTTGAGTATAAACTAAAGGTTGGGGGATTGTCCTACCTGCTAGCCGTTCTCTGGTAAGTCGTGGTTGTGCGGCCAACAGCAATAAATCAGCACCGAGTCCAGCACCTAATCCACCTCCGAGGGTGGCCAACTGATTGTCGTTGTCACCCGATGGTAGTGTGGGATTTGTAAAATCTCGCGACTTGTCGTTGTTGTACTTAACGTTTAAGGAAGTCATTTTTGAGTAGTCAATTCGAAGTGTACAACAACTGTTGTATATATTTTGTCCGTCTAACGACTGTTTTGCGGTTTGTGCTGACTGCGTGTCCGGGTATTGTATGAGAGCTTGGAATGAATCTGAAAAACACATTCTAGGGCACACTCAAAATGCTACGAGGAAACTTACTATTTTTTGTAAATGTTACAATTTTAAGAACTTTTCCAAAACGCTGAAATATCTGGAAAGAACTAATTAAGAAGAAAAAGAAAAATCGACCTCAAACATACCACATGTAGTATATCTAAACTGATGGGGTAAATCATATGCTCTATAATCACACGTAGAACCGTATTTGGACCACCTTGTATTTCTTGGCCGTTCGTAAGGGCGACCGGAGGTGTAGCCGTTCCCGTTGTCCCTCCGGTAGGTGTGGCAGTAATCGCTTGGGCCGCTTGAAGGGCAGCTTGAGCAGACGCGTTCTGCAATGTAACAGACTACACTTATATTGTATTTCTGAACTTTCCAACTTTGCATTTTCTATCATAAAACTCGCGCCGGAAAATTGAAAGGTAAATGAAAAAGTTTTGATGGGCTCTCAAATTGTGTACACGTAATTAAATAAGTTTTTTATTTGTCTACAATTAGTTTAAAAGTATTTCTTTGTAAACTTATTAGACGCATAAACTTCTCGACAAACAAAATGATATTTAAAGAAGCTTTTTTTCGGAAAAATAAAGTTTTCTGTTGGCGCGAATATCTTTATCAAATGCATCCGAACGTAAACAGAAAAAGCAAACTTATCGACTTAATTTATAATAAATATGAATCTTTCGAAGTGATTACCAAGTGGAGAACTCTGAAAAAATTTGACACATGGCGGGTTATATAAAAAATTGAAAAGCTTTTCGATTTATGCTATAAAAAACGATTATTCCATTTTACTTTCGTTTAAAAAAATTCGAAAGTGCGACTTTGTGAGTGCCGACAGAAGTGACTACTTCTTTCTCTCTCACACTCTGCAGCTCCTTTTTTTGTCGCTGCGCGCTCTCGGGTTCGAACCCGCGTCATCGACAGTTCTAAATCGAAAAATAGCGAGCTTGCCACAAAGTCTTCTTATCAATATCAAAAACACAAAGGATTTTAATACGATAAGTGCTGAAACCCGCTTTAGTAATGCTTTAATAATGTATTTTGTTAAGAATTTAGATAAAGTCAATTTAAGTATGACTAATTACGCTAGCCAAAATTTAATCACTTACTCTCTTGACCCAAGGGTGCTATATAATATAGGATTCCCACCCTACAGACGGACATACGGACGGCCAGACAAAACTATCACATACGGAGAATGTTTTTTTTTCAAAAAATGAGGAGATATGAAGGTTGATGTCGGCGACTTTTATTGACAGAACTGACGCTATTCAAATAATGACAGCCCTAGATGCAGCTGTAACAGGGATGAGATTTTACGCCATGGGTGAACAATAGGACCAGAGGCACCTTCGCTATGGAGAACAGTAGGTGTTGGGAGTCCCTCGCAATGGGTGAAAAGTAGACCCAGTAAGAGTGTTCTTCGATATGAGGAACAGAAGTCGAATGAATTTTTATGGTCATCGTATTTCATTCCTCCGACATCCCTAACTACATGGACGTCGGAGGCGTGCCGCTTATGTTTGCTGTCGGGATTAATTAAAGCAGGCAAAATAAGCTCTACGCGAAACGTCGTATTCGAACGAAATAAAAAATAGCATAGAAAATTCTCCAATCAACAATATAATACATGTGATTTCAAATTTCAAAAAATTCAAAAAAATATAAATTAAAAAAATGTTGAAGATTTTTGAACATTTTTAACATTTTTTTTAATCTCTTTGAACCATTATTGAATTTTTAAAGAAAATTTAATATGCTATTTTTTAGATTAAATATCTACACCAAATTTCAGTTAGATCCGATAACTTTTTTACTGGACCGCGTATAGTTATTTTGAAAGCGACAGATTAACACTATTTCCCACAATGAACAAGTTTTTACTCGCGACTTTATCCGAAAAAACAACATTGTAGATTCGTAAAAGTATTAATCGTACCTATCAGTAATCTGCGCTTGATAAGGAGTGGAACTTTGTCCGACCCTTTAATTGCAAAATTGTGTAAAAGGAAGTCTATAATAGGCGTACTCCGAAAGTCGTGTCAGCTATCGGTTTTGAAAGGACGGCAAGACCTTAAATCAAAATCTGAGATATGACCACAGTGTCCACAGTTAATTAATTGAGAGTAATAGCTAATAATCTACATACCTTCCTAAAGTTCTCCGTCCGCAGTAACGAAGTACACCTACTCTAGGTACTTAGAAACTTCTCAATTATTCTTGAAACTTTTCTTACGAATGAAAATATGTATTCGCGTTTAAAAAGAATGAAAGAAGCGGGTCGCCTTAATTTAATTAAAGGAGAGAGGTTACAAAAATTACTAGAGAAAACTCATTTTGTAAAGTATATTTTATTTAAATTGCTTTGGATATACATTTTTCGTTCCCTTTACAAATTTTAAATGATTTTTAAGTTCGGCATCACTTCTTTTTCTAATAAACGCGCGAATACCGCTCGAAATCGGAATGGTAAAAACGATTTATGTACATGCAATCTTGCAAAATTAATCGAATTCATTATTCCGCCGTTTTTATAAACTCGCGAATATCGCTTACCCTCCGCGTTACCGCTTAATGAAGTTGGGAATTTTTAATCAAATTAAGGAAGGTTATTGCTTCTTCGTGGTTTTCAATTGAGAAATACATGCGTATGTGGGGATAACAATAATTCATAATCCAACTAATTTAGCGCTTCGAAAATTAAAGGGGACATTAAACTGCTCCGTATACTTTGTCAATTAGTCACAAATTCATCAAAAGGATTAACGTAACGCTCCCGTAATTGCGATGTGACCATTGCTTGCAGAACCACCCCTAACTAAACTAATACAGTTGGCCACTGCCGAAAATGACGATAAAAAATTGTATTTAATACCCACATTTCCGATTTGGGTAAACACAACGGGAGGTTTACACTTTTTTGTCGAATTTGTGCCCCGACACCGAAGCAACAAAAACATCCCCATTTCATTAGCACCGTTTATCACCCTCGGTATTGCTTTTCATTAATTTCGAATGGGAAAAAATCAACAATCGAGAAGTAACATCAATAACATTTGTAACATAATCTCCCATTTTGAATTGAAAATTGCATAATAATGAGGCGGATTAATAATCGTCCTTGTACAGTTGCGCTCGTTACGCGATGGCTTACCAGATAAACGATGAAAAAAATCATTGTGTGTACAAATGAACAAATGTAATATCACTTTTGTGGTGGATTTTCTTTCAAATGTGCACGCGACAATTTATATTTAAGACGAATGCCTGGCACCGAGTACAATGCAATTGAAATTGTGTATGTGCACGGAAAACTCATTCAGGCGAAAATTGTGACTAGCGTGTAAGTCCAACGAATTGTGCTGCTACAGTTACCATTTACTTTTTATTTTGAACCGTTAATTTAAGGCCGTGAAGAGGAATCTCGATATAAATTTGGATGGAATACAACGAAATCCGAAAAAACGACTAGCAACAGGTCCACGAGACCGCGCCGTTTTCATCGATTATACTTCGTCTAACGATGTTACAGTTTTCTTTTTATTCTCTTTCTTTCCTGCATTGACTCCTTAGTTCCGAACTTTAAACGACACAATTGGAAAGTAATGTAGGTCAAAAGATGGCGATTAGGTAGGTACACAAATAACGACGCCTAACATCACAATGGAACTTAATATCGTGATTGAAGAGTAGGTCAATCTTCAGGTCTAAGGTTCCCTCATTTCCATTATATTGTATTTAGTTCTTTAGTAATATTGTTAGTGAAGTATACGAATTAAGATATCACCATAACCCCCCCATAAACAATATTTTCAGAAGCTTTCTAGAATTTGGGCTTTTTTGGCATGAAACTTGCAAGTGTAATTTAAAGTAACATTTTTGAAAATAACTGAGATACAAGGTATGTAAATTAACTAATGAGACTAACCCCTGTCATTACTGGTGTGATCCAGAAACAAAAAAAAGTGAATTTTTGGTGAACTGAATGTCATTTCAAAATCCGAGTTCCAGCACTGCTATGACGAGTGGAAGAATCCTCTCCAACGCTGTGTTCCCACAAATACTATTTTCAAAGAGACAGTAATGAATTGTAATTATATTTAAATATAAATATTTAGAGCATCAGTCTCATTGCTCAACTTACACACCTGGGTATCACCGAAAAACTGAAAATGTTAAATTTCGTTGTTATTTTCCATAACTTACACTCGGAAATGCACGGTTCACGTTAGCACTTTCTATGGGCGCCTTTTTCGGAGAATCTGAATATTTTATCAGAATTTCCATAACCCGTTAGATGTAGAAGCTACAGGTTACTACTTTCTTGGTTCTTATGGGCGCCGTATTGGATTTTTACCGGAAATGAAAACAAATTTTCAGTTTTTCGGTAATTTTCAAAGATCTTTCAAAAATTTCAAAAGCGATTTTTACCTGTACCTACTGTATCTCTACAACTGACTTTCTTTTTACTTCCGGTTTCGCACGAAGTACCACTAACCATGGATTTTTGAATAAAACACCCTGTATATTATTGAATTTTTAATCTTCGTTTAGCTGTCATTTGAGATCGTATTAATTTTTTCCAAATAAAATGTTTCAGAGGCTAATGCTGTTTTTTTCAAAGACTTATTGCCCAGCCCCCCTGTACGTGCCTCAAGAACCGTTCGCACCTTGGAACCAGGGTATTTTTTGTGCGCGGCGGAGAAGTTAAAATTTGAATTTGCGTGCAAGCGCGCTTTATCAAAATTATTTATTTTACTTCACCATTATGCAAACCTTCATAATGAAGGGCACAGATTATTTTGTAAAGCAAAATGGAAATAACACATGAGTTCTTTGAGCATCAATCGGAAGCCACCAACGGAAGAGAGGAAATAGCAAAAACAAGAAAAAAAACATCCATCGCTGCTTAGCGACTTATCAGTTGTGCCGCCACTATACAGCGCTTCAAAAACTCTTCGTGAGAACACAAGCAGATAAAAGTCGAAACGTCACAGTGTTGCCACGATCTCACAGACCACAAAAGTTTCGTTCCCTTTTGCGAAAAACCGAGTACATCACGAAAATACGGGATTTGTATTAGTTAAATTTTTCTGCAAAAGTTGCGTTCCGAAAAAATGAGGATCGTCTCTTATTTGAAATCCGGCGAGGTATTAAAGTAAAAATCTGATGGGAGCACGGGATCTTACTGGCATTTTCGAAGAGAACCTATGCGGGTCGAGGACTACTGTTTTCGATCGCGGATTGATTTTTTTAGCTGAACAGGCGGTAAAAAAGAGATCGCGTAAAATAGTAAAACTTCATTATTAACGAGCTCCTTTCTGTCCGTCCGCATGTGTACATG